GACTTCGCCGTCGCCACCGGGGCGCGCTGGGGCCAGGACGGTCATGTGGTCTTCCGCGGCGACTATGCGTTCCAGGCCATGGTGCCTCTCATCATGGAAGCCGAACTTCTGGACGAGCCAGCTTCCATGGAACTTCTTGAGAGGTCTCTGGCAGAGTGTGGGCGGGAGAACGTCATGGGAGTCTTGTTGGAGGGCGGCGGGACCATCTTCTCCGAGCTGGTGTCTGATGCAGTCTCGTATGGCATCTTGGGAACGCCGAAAGGGGATGCCCTTATCAATCTCGCGATGGAGTATGGCGCCGACTGGGCCTGCCTGGATGGGTGGAACTTCACACCTTTCGAGGAGATCACCCGTCTGCCTTTGATGAGTAACCCGAGGCGAAAGACCACCATCTCGCCGGAGGTTGCACTTGCCTACACCCGCAAAGTACTGCAGAATCATCCACAGCCCGGTCTCCTCTGGAACGGTTCGAAGGATCGGACGGAGGACGGCGACGAGGAGTCTCAGGGAGCCTTTCGCAGCCTGCTCCGATCTTTGGCCAAAGAGAAGCGCATCGGGCAGCCGATCTGCCACGAGTTCTTGAAGATGGCCGAGGAGACGGGAGCCAGGTGGGATGCTATCCATTGGAAACTCGAGCAAGCCCCCTAATAGAGCTTTGATTGTCGACTTTTTCCTGTAGTAAATACGAACCAGAAAATCCTGCAGCCCTCCTTTTGTTTCAGCTGAGCAGAGGAATTACACGCCTCCGTGGGCCATTTACCAGGTCGGCAGCCTCAGTACCTTCCACTCCTTCGTCCAGGGCCTCGCACAGGCGGGTGCGTTACGGCACCCCGAGGGGGTCAACATGGTGGCTCGTGCTTTGGAGAATGGAGCCGCCTATCGGATGGATGATCCGAAGCCTCCGGGGCCGAAGCGCATTGTGGTGGATATTCCGGGATTGGTCTGGGGCTGCCGGAGAGAGACGGTGCGCCTGCTGGCGTTGCTGGCCTCTGGAAGGGCCTTCTGCTGTGGTCCTCCGGACAGGGAGGGATCGGAGGGAGATCTGGTGGCTTCCTTA